CATCTGTAAGATGCGCCTGCCATTCTTCCACTCCGGTGGTGGGTGTCCATCTAGGACCCCATTCAAACCCACGGTGGCCTGGTCTTAGCTAGGTGGCGACAACTGCAATCGAGAATTTCACCATCGCCGCAAGGATGGGCGGTGGTGGTCGCGGGTTGCTGAAGAGATGGAATCTGCCTCAGCGGGCCCGTGATCCCAGATCGCTCTTCCAATTCCGAAGAGAAGCAACTCGCAGCGCCTCGCTCATCGCCATCCTCGAGGTAATGAACGGTGATCCAATCTCCGACCCCCTTCCACCCCCCCCAGGAAGAGGTTCGCACATGAGCTGAGTATTTCTGCGAGGTCCTGGTGGGAGGGGAAATCCCTCAGCCTGGGAAAACGTCGCGGGACGAAGTGGGGACGGCCCTGTTTGCCTCGAATATTGGAAGAAGGAAGGTTCTATTCGGTAAAGTCGCCACGTAGGCAAAAAATTAAAATTAAAACAACGACAATCACGACGTTTCGGGCCACAGCACAAGGGGCCTTCATCAGGCGAAGGGACCGGACTGGACTGTCTCGAGTGAAACGCAGCCAAGCTCAGACCGCGGGACCTTTGAGCCGTGATGTTCGAGGAATCGAGGTGCCTTGACACGGGAATTGGTGTAAAAAAAAAAATCGGCATTGAATTGGCGGACTTGGCATGATGAACGGTGTAGAGGCGGTGAACTTTCGCAGGTCGGCGAGGGCGGGGGGGGCGAGGTGTGAAAAGGGAAGGGAACGGATTCTGCGAAGCACGGCTTCCCCCCCAATGTTCCGTTTGGAATTGATGAAAGCTACCGTGCTGCCCCTACTTGACTGCTGTGACGTCTTTTCTAGATTTGAAGCTTCCGTGACTGCAAGGGACCCGCACTCTTTGACTCTATTCGGTAAAGTCACCGCGTAGGTAAAAGTAAAAGTAAAAAAAAAAATGAAACGGCAAAAATCACGACGTTTCGGCCACAGCACAAGCGGCCTTCATCAGGCGGAGGGACCTGACTGTCCAGCGGATGGCGTCGGGAGTGAAGAAAGCCAAGCGCTGGTCGCCTCCTTTTAAGCTGCGAGGGGGTAAACTTGACAAAGGAAATCAGCATGAAACGTACCACTACTGACGAAGCTTGGAAATTAGCACAAGATGATAATACACCACCCTGGGAGTTTGGAGTGCCACTACTAGAATGAATATATACTGTACCGTTGAAAATTAGTTACATTTTTGGTTCGATTTAGAACACCTTTCCAATGGTTGCTTAATTTGAAACCATCTTCTCGGTTGAAATTGTGTCTGCGTTTGTAAATCTGAATTGCCTCGTGAACAAATCTCTGATAAAAACCCATGGGTTTTTGCAGAGAGCCTTGGTATCGGAGAAAATTATATCGTGATCGCCCACAGCATTGTAACAGCGATCAGCTACGGACTTTACCGAATAGAACCAAAGAGTATGGATCCTTGCAGTCACGAAAGCTTCAAATCTCGAATTGAGGTGCCATCTGTTGAGGAAGTACGGAAGGCTATCAGGAAAAGTTCCGGGCAAAGATGATCTCCCAAGCGAAAAGCTGAGGGAGGGTGGCGTTTGTGCGCAGACTGCCCAACATGACATCATAATAACAGTCTGGACGACAGGACAGGTTCCGCAGGATTGGAAGAATGCGCTAGTAGGGCCCCCCTCTTCAAGAAGGGGAACCGCACAGACTGTAACAACTACAGGGGCATCTCACTCCTCAGCGTGCTGAGAATTGTCCCGGCAAGGATTATTCAACACCGCCTTGCCAGGCACGCTGAGGAGAGGCTTGCAGAGCCCCAATGTGGTTTCGGGACAGATGCCATATTTTTTGTCCTGCTACAGCAGAGGTGTAGGGAATTCCAATAAGACCTACATCTTTGCTTTATTGACCTGGTCAAGGCCTGTGATACCATCAGTAGGCCTGGGCTCTGGGTTGTTCTTCGTGCTTTTGGAGTACCTGACCCTCTGCTCACGATCATTAAGGACCTTCATGATGGTGAGCGGGCCAGGGTAAAACTACGTGGCCGGGAGTCAGAGCCATTCCCTGTACACCTTGGGGTGCGACAGGGATGTCCTCTGGCTCCCACATTATTTAACATCTATTTCGACCACGTAGTTCGTGAAGCCTTCGATGGCTGTACCGGATGAATTTACATCTGGTACAGATACAATGGGAGGCTGATCGATGCCCAGTGCAGTCAAGGGTTGGCTCCCTATTGGTCAACCACGTTATGTATGCCGATGATCTGGTAATTACTGTTCACTTAGAGGAGGAGTTGGAGATGCTGCTGCTGAGACTGGAGCGTGCCACTAAGAGGTGTGGCCTTACCATCAGCTCCACCAAAACTAAGCACCAATCGGTGATGAGGCAGTTGTGGAGAGAGTGGAGAGTTTCCCATACCTGGGCAGTGTGCTCATGACCAGCTCCAGTTTAACAGCAGAGGTCTCACTCCACATCAGTCGAGCGGCAATATATTTTCAATGGTTGCGTAACGCTGTGTGGAAGCTACCTGGTCTGTCGCTCCGCACGAAGCTTCAGGTCTTCTCGGCCACAGTAATTCCCTCCCTTCTCTACGCTCGCGAAACGTGGACTCCCCTAATGGAACATCTTCGCCGGTTAGAAACATTTAGGCTGGCCTGCCTGCGATCCATCCCGGGTTTAACCAGGCTGGATTGTGTGCGGAGCTCACAAATCCTTGAAAGATCTGGGCAAAGTCCTATCGGTGAGCTCCTCCGGCAGGCACGGCTGCGTTGGCTGGGTCATGTCGCCCGCATGCCCAGCCACCGCATGCCGAAACAGCTTTTGTTTCACCGGATCGAGGGGGCTAAACGGGCTTGGCACGGGCTAGAGAAGAGATGGAGTGATGTGGTACAGGAGGACGTGGAGCTGAGTGGACTTGCCGATGACCGGTACCAGCGGTGTCAAGATCGGCCTCTGTGGAGGAGGCTCGTGAAGGACGCTGCTACTGGGCAGTTGGAGGCAGTCGCCCTCCAACAACAACGGAGGGCGGAGGAGCGACGCTCACAACAACGAGCGGAGCGCCGGGTGGCTAAAGCACAGCAGGTTGGCACAGTAGGGGGCACAGGTGGTGCACCAGCCACTCATCTCAGTCATCTCAGTCAGTCGACCCGTGGCACCTGGGTCTGCCCCGTGACCTCCTGCCAGCGGGCGTTCGACACTTCACGTGGCCTCATCGTGCACATGGCCTGGCACAAGCGTCGTGGTGACGTCACCGCCACTTAGTGGCGAATGGCGGTTGTTGTTATTGTAGTGGATAAGAGAGGCTGCTACTCCTCTGTCCGGAGCTGGACCAGCTGTGTGTGTGTAGTGGATAGGAGAGGCTGCAACTCCTCTGTCCGGAGCTGGACAGGTTTTGTTTGTGTAGTGGATAAGAGAGGCTGCTACTCCTCCGTCCGGAGTTGGACCGGTGGTGTGTGTGTAGTGGATAGGAGAGGCTGCTACTCCTCTGTCCGGGGCTGGACCGGCTGTGTGTGTAGTGGATAGGAGAGGCTGCTACTTCTCCGTCCGGAGCTGTACAGGTTTTGTGTGTGGTGGATAGGAGAGGCTGCTACTCCTCCGTCCGGGGTTGGACCGGAGCTGGACCAGCTGTGTGTGTGTGTAGTGGATATGAGAGGCTGCTACTCCTCCGTCCGGAGTTGGACCAGTGGTGTGTGTGTAGTGGATAGGAGAGGCTGCTACTTCTCCGTCTGGAGCTGGACTGGCTGTGTGTGTGTAGTGGATAGGAGAGGCTGCTACTCCTCCGTCCGGAGCTGTACAGGTTTTTTGTGTGGTGGATAGGAGATGCTGCCACTCCTCTGTTTGGAGCGGGACAAGTTTTGTGTGTGTGTGTGTAGTGGATAGGAGAGGCTGCCACTTCTCTGTCTGGAGCTGGACTGGCTGTGTGTGTGTGTAGTGGATAGGAGTGGCTGCCACTTCTCTGTCCGGGGTTGGACCGGAGCTGGACTGGCTGTGTGTGTGTAGTGGATAGGAGAGGCTGCTACTCCTCCGTCCGGAGCTGTATAGGTTTTTTGTGTGGTGGATAGGAGAGGCTGCCACTCCTCTGTCCGGAGCTGGACAGGTTTTGTGTGTGTGTGTAGTGGATAGGAGAGGCTGCTACTCCTCCGTCCGGGGTTGGACCGGAGCTGGACCAGCTGTCTGTGTGTGTAGTGGATATGAGAGGCTGCTACTCCTCCGTCCGGAGTTGGACCGGTGGTGTGTGTGTAGTGGATAGGAGAGGCTGCTACTTCTTCGTCCGCAGCCGGACCGGCTGTGTGTGTGTAGTGGATAGGAGAGGCTGCTACTTCTCCGTCTGGAGCTGGACCGGCTGTGTGTGTAGTGGATATGAGAGGCTGCTGCTACTCTGTCCGGAGTTGGACCGGAGCTGGACCAGCTGTGTGTGTGTGGTGGATAGGAGAGGCTGCTACTCCTCCGTCCGGAGTTGGACCGGAGCTGGACCGGCTGTGTGTGTGTGTGTGTGGTGGATAGGAGAGGCTGCCACTCTTCTGTCCGGAGCTCGACCGGCTGTGTGTGTGTAGTGGATAGGAGAGGCTGCCACTCCTCTGTCCGGAGCTCGACCGGCTGTGTGTGTGTAGTGGATAGGAGAGGCTGCCACTCTTCTGTCCGGAGCTCGACCGGCTGTGTGTGTGTAGTGGATAGGAGAGGCTGCCACTCTTCTGTCCGGAGCTCGACCGGCTGTGTGTGTGTAGTGGATAGGCGAGGCTGCCACTCCTCTGTCCGGGGCTGGACCGGCTGTGTGTGTGGTGGATAGGAGAGGCTGCCACTCTTCTGTCCGAAATTGGACTGGTTGTGTGTATAGTGGATAGGAGAGGCTGCCACTTCTCCGTCCGGAGCTGGACCGGCTGTGTGTGTGTAGTGGATAGGAGAGGCTGCTACTCCTCTGTCCGGAGCTGGACAGGTTTTGTGTGTGTGTGTGTAGTGGATAGGAGAGGCTGCCCACTCCTCCGTCCGGAGCTGGACCGCTACCGCGTTTCTCACCTCTCCCTTCCTCCCTCCTCTCCCTCTCCCTCCCGCCTCCCTCCGCGCCCGCCCGCCGCAGCCCCCTCCCCCGCCCCGCCGAGCCCGACCCGCCGTCTCCGGCGGCGGCGGGCGCCCGCCGCCGGAGCCGCCTCCGCTGCGAGTGGTGCCCCTACTCGTCCGAGCACGCGGGCAGCATGCGCTACCACGCGCGCGTGCACACGGGGGAGCGCCCCTACGCCTGCGGCGACTGCGGCCGGCGCTTCGCCGTGTCGGGCCAGCTCCGGAGCCACGCGCGCGTGCACACGGGGGAGCGGCCCTACGCCTGCGGCGTCTGCGGCCGGCGCTTCGCCCGCTCGGGCCAGCTCAGGAGCCACTCGCGGGCCCACCAGGAGGCGGGGGAGGCGGCGGAGGCGGCGGAGGCGGCGGAGGCGGCGGAGGCGGCCCGGAGGCGGAGGGCCGCGGGGTGCCTCTGCGGCGTCTGCGGCCGCGCCTTCTCGGCGCCGGCCGCGAGGAGGCGGCACGAGCGGTCGCACGGCGGCGAGCGGCCGCACTCGTGCGGGGCGTGCGGGGCCGGCTTCGGCCGCGCCGAGAACTTGCGGCGGCACCGGCTGCGGCACTGCAGGGGAGGGGAGGGAGGCGGCGGTGGCGGAGGAGGCGGTGGTGAAGGCGGCGGTGGCGGAGGAGGCGGTGGTGAAGGCGGCGGTGGCGGAGGAGGCGGTGGTGAAGGTGGCGGTGGCGGAGGAGGCGGTGGTGGTGGTGGTGGTGGGGCGAGGGGGAAGGCCAGGGGTGGTGGTCGACGTGGTGGTGGTGGCGGTGGTGACGGTGGTGGTGGTGGTGGTGGTGGCAGCGGCGGTGAGGCTGGGGCGAGGGGGAAGGCCAGGGGTGGTGGTGGCGGTCGACGTGGTGGTGGTGGCGGTGGTCGTGGTGGTGGTGGTGGTGGCGGTGGTGGCGGTGAGGGTGGGGCGAGGGGGAAGGCCAGGGGTGGTGGCGGTGGTGGCGGTCGTGGTGGACGTGGTGGTGGACGTGGTGGTGGACGTGGTGGTGGACGTGGTGGTGGCGGCAGTGGCGGTGTTGGTGGGAAAGTGAAGAAGATGGGACAGGAGGATGAAGAGGCGACTAGGGGAAGAGGTGGTGGCGGTGGCAGAGGGGTTGGTGGGACAGCGAGGAAGAGGAGGAAGAGGGAGGAGGAAGAGGTGGTTAGGGGAGGTGGAGGCGGAGAAGGTGGTGGTGGTGGTGGTGGTGGAGGTGGTGGTGGTGGTGGTGGTGGGGTTGGTGGGACAGCGAGGAAGAGGAGGAGGAGAAGAGAGGAGGAGGGGGAGGAGGAGGAGAGAATCCAAAGAGGAGGAATTCTGAGGAAGTTGACTGTCAAGGAGACACTGGGAGGAGGAGGTGATGGAGGTGATGGAGGTGGTGGAGGAGGTGATGGAGGTGGCGGTGGAGGTGGTGGAGGTGGTGGTGGAGCCACTGGGCAGACGCTGACGACGACAAGGAGCCCAGGGGAAGACACACGGGTGGACGAGGAGGAGGAGGTGGTGGACAAGGAGGAGGTGGTGGACAAGGAGGTGCCGCTCTGCGTGCTGGAGCTGCTGCAGACGGAGGTGTGGGTGGACTTGGAGAGTGGCGGTGGCGTTGGTGGTGGTGGGTGGGAGGGTCTGGCGCTGGTGGAGTTGGAGTGAGTGGGTGGGCGAGTGAGTGGGTGGGTGGGCGAGTGAGTGGGTGGGTGGGCGAGTGAGTGGGTGGGCGAGTTAGTGAGTGGGTGGGCGAGTGAGTGAGTGGGCGAGCGGCAGGGTGAGCGTTTCAGTTTTCAGCTTCATGTATTTTTAGTATGGAGCCCTGTGTGAGCCATTCGGCTCTTGAATCGGAGTGCAAACCTCAACAAACACAAAAACAAAAAAACACGAACATGAAAAAAACGTCTTAAAGCGACTACTACGTGTGTATGTGTGTGTGTGTTGACTGTGCAAAACAGAAAATCCAGGGGGAAAAAAAAAACCCAGCAAAATATTCCTGAAAAAGCAAGCACCGTGTACACCACCAACACTGTGTGCAAAAATCCCAACGGGATGCAAGGTCAAACAACAACCACAACAACAACCACAACCACAACAACCACAAGACACAACTTAGATTAAGGCCATCAGTCTAACTCCGTACTTACAACAACAACAACCACAAGACACAACTTAGATTAAGGCCATCAGTCTAACTCCGTACTACAACAACAACCACAAGACAACTTAGATTAAGGCCATCAGTCTAACTCCGTACTTACAACAACAACAACAACCACAAGACAACTTATATTAAGGCCATCAGTCTAACTCCGTACTTACAACAACAACCACAAGACAACTAAGATTAAGGCCATCAGTCTAACTCCGTACTTACAACCACAACCACAAGACAACTAAGATTAAGGCCATCAGTCTAACTCCGTTACTACAACAACCACAACAACCACAAGACAACTTAGATTAAGGCCATCAGTCTAACTCCGTACTTACTACAACAACAACCACAAGACAACTTAGATTAAGGCCATCGGTCTAACTCCGTTACTACAACAACAACCACAAGACACAACTTAGATTAAGGCCATCAGTCTAACTCCGTACTTACAACAACAACAACCACAAGACACAACTTAGATTAAGGCCATCAGTCTAACTCCGTACTTACAACAACCACAAGACAACTTAGATTAAGGCCATCAGTCTAACTCCGTACTTACAACAACAACCACAAGACACAACTTAGATTAAGGCCATCAGTCTAACTCCGTACTTACAACAACAACAACCACAAGACACAACTTAGATTAATGCCATCAGTCTAACTCCGTACTTACAACAACAACCACAAGACAACTTAGATTAAGGCCATCAGTCTAACTCCGTACTACAACAACAACCACCACAAGACAACTTAGATTAAGGCCATCAGTCTAACTCCGTACTTACAACAACAACAACAAGACACAACTTAGATTAAGGCCATCGGTCTAGCTCCGCACTGCAGCAAGCGAAAAACACGGCCAGACACAACTAAAAAAAAAACGCTTTCGAGATCACCAAAAAGTGAAGCCGTGAATCGCGATGGAACGATCATCACCCGGGACTGCGACCCCCAATTCGTAAACGGCCAAAACTGCGCATGAACAACGTCTAACGCCAAAGCCTGGAGGCGCAGCTGGCCGTCCGAGCCACTCCACATGCAACAACGGGAGCCGAGCTCTTTGGGTTCTATCCGGTAAAGTCGCGGAGGTGAAGATAAAATAACAGAAAATTCTCGGCCACGACACAAGGGGCCTTCGTCGGGCGACGGGACACCGGGCTGTCCGGAGGGACAGCGCTGGAGTGAACCGGAGCCACGCTCGGGCGTTTAAGCTGCGCGAGAGGAATCGAGGTGCCTTGACAAAGGAATTGGCATGAAAATGATGTACTGGACCGGCACGGTGTGGGGGGTGGTGGTGGTGGTGGGCGGGGGGAGTTTAAATAATGTTGGTGTGAAGGGAAATAAGCTGCTGTCAAAGTTTGCGATGCCGCTACTTGAATAAATATATACTGTACCATTGCAAATTAGTTTAATGTTTGGTTCGATTTAGAACACCTTTACCAATGATTGCTTAATTTGATCTTCTTTGGTTCTTTCGGTAAAGTCACGTAGAATGATAATAAAATGATAAATTGATAAAATAAAATAACACAATAATATTCTCACGACGTTTCGGCCACAACACAAGCGGCCTTCATCAGGTGAAGGGGGCGAGACTGTCTGGTAGGACAGCGCTGGAGTGAAAGAGCCACGTTCAGATACGGCCTTTTAAGCTTAGAGTCGCGGCATCTCTTCAGAAAGGTGAGAGACTCGATTAGTTGAGCCTTCTAATCCCGAAGTCTGTTGAATGATCTTAAGGATGTGTGGAATCCCTCCCCATAGAGGCGGTTAAATTTCGATTTAAAGCTTTCGTGACTGCAATGATTCATCTTCTTTGGTTCTTTCGGTAAAGTCACGTAGAATGAGAATAAAATAATAAATTGATAAAACAAAATAACACAATAATATTCTCACGACGTTTCGGCCACAACACAAGCGGCCTTCATCAGGTGAAGGGACCGGACTGTCAAATAGAGCAAGCCAAGATCTACAAGTATCTTGTGGTCATCCCTGGATTCGAACACCGAAATTTGAAGATCACGTCGATTGCATTGGTAAAAAGACGCGGGCAAAAATTGGGTTTGCCGTATCGACACAAGCACTGCTTTGCTTCCCCCCAATGTTCCGTTTGGAATTGATAAAAGCTACCGTACTGCCTCTACTTGACTCCTGTGACATCTTCATCAGGCGGAGGGACCTGACTGTCCAGCGGACGGCGTCGGGAGTGAAGAAAGCCAAGCGCCGGTCGCCTCCCTTTTAAGCTGCGAGGGGGTAAACGCCAAACGCCTTGACAAAGGAAATCAGCATGAAACGTACCACTACTGACGAAGCTTGGAAATGAGCACAAGATGATAATACACCACCCTGGGAGCTTGGAGTGCCACTACTAGAATGAATATATACCGTACCGTTGAAAATTAGTTTAATGTTTGGTTCTGTTTAGAACACCTCTCCAATGATTGCTTAATTTGAAACCATCCTCTCGGTGAGAAATTGTGTCCTGCGTTTGTAAATCTTGAATTGCCTCGTGGACAAATCTCTGATGACAAAAAAACCCGTGGGTTTTTGCAGAGAAACTTGGTATCGGAGGAAACTCTATCGTGATCACCCACAGCGTTGTAACAGCGATCAGCCTCGGTCAGGGTGGGGGGGGGTATCAACATGTCTCAAGCGCGCCTTTAAGATCGGCATCGTCCGGAGCGAAAACAAGTTTTATTTTAGGCCGCTAAAATTCCCCAGTTTCACGCTAATTTATATGCTAACTCCTCTCCCCCCCCTCCTCCGTTCACACACCAGCATCGTGCCAATCCCCCAGTTGCACGCTAATTTATGACTTTAACACCCTGCCAATCCAACACATTACATTAACACGGCTACTTCAATGCCAAATACTCCTGTTGATATGTAAACTCTGGCTTTAACGTAGCTACTTCCGTAACCAGTTACATGCTAATAACTCACACTAACATGCTAATCTCCCAGTTGCACACTAATTTATGACTTTAACACCCTGCTAATCTTAACACATTAACACGGCTATTGTAATGCCAAATTATTCTGTTGATATGTAAACTCTGACTTTAACATAGCTACTTCCGTGACCAGTTACATGCTAATCTCCCAGTTGCACACTAATTTATGACTTTAACACCCTGCTAATCCAACACATTAACACGGCTACTTCAATGCTAAATTCTCCTGTTGATATGTAAACTCTGGCTTTAACGTAGCTACTTCCGTGACCAGTTACATGCTAATTTATGACTTTAACACCCTGCTAATCCAACACATTAACACGGCTACTTCAATGCTAATTTCTCCTGTTGATATGTAAACTCTGGCTTTAACGTAGCTACTTCCGTGACCAGTTACACGCTAATTTATGACTTTAACACCCTGCTAATCTAACGCATTAACACGGCTACTTCAATGCCAAGTTATTCTGCTGATATGTAAACTCTGACTTTAACATAGCTACTTCCGTGACCAGTCACATGCTAATTCCTCACGTTAACATCATGCTAATCTCCCAGTTACATGCTAATTTATGACTTTAACACCCTGCTAATCTTAACACATTAACACGGCTACTTCAATGCTAAATTCTCCTGTTGATATGTAAACTCTGGCTTTAACGTAGCTACTTCCGTGACCAGTTACACGCTAATTTATGACTTTAACACCCTGCTAATCCAACGCATTAACACGGCTACTTCAATGCTAAATACTCCTGTTGATATGTAAACTCTGACTTTAACATAGCTACTTCCGTGACCAGTTACATGCTAATCCCTCATGTTAACATCATGCTAATCTCCCAGTTACATGTTAATTTATGACTTAAACACCCTGCTAATCTTAACACATTAACACGGCTATTTTAATGCCAAATTATTCTGTTGATATGTAAACTCTGACTTTAACGTAGCTACTTCTGTGACCAGTTACACGCTAATTTCTGACTTTAACACCCTGCTAATCTATCGCATTAACACGGCTACTTCAATGCCAAATTTTCCTGTTGATATGTAAACTCTGGCTTTAACATAGCTACTTCCGTTACCAGTTACACGCTAATTTATGACTTTAACACCCTGCTAATCTTAACACATTAACACGGCTACTTCAATGCCAAATTATTCTGTTGATATGTCAACTCTTACTTTAACATAGCTACTTCCGTGACCAGTTACATGCTAATTCCTCACGTTAACATCATGCTAATCTCCCAGTTACATGCTAATTTATGACTTTAACACCCTGCTAATCTTAACACATTAACACGGCTACTTCATTGCTAAATTCTCCTGTTGATATGTAAACTCTGGCTTTAACGTAGCTACTTCCGTGACCAGTTACACGCTAATTTATGACTTTAACACCCTGCTAATCTATCACATTAACACGGCTGCTTCAATGCCAAATTCTCCTGTTGATGTATAAACTCTGACTTTAACGTAGCTACTTCCGTGACCAGTTACACGCTAATTTATGACTTTAACACCCTGCTAATCCAACACATTAACACGGCTACTTCAATGCTAATTTCTCCTGTTGATATGTAAACTCTGGCTTTAACGTAGCTACTTCCGTGACCAGTTACACGCTAATTTATGACTTTAACACCCTGCTAATCTAACGCATTAACACGGCTACTTCAATGCCAAGTTATTCTGCTGATATGTAAACTCTGACTTTAACATAGCTACTTCCGTGACCAGTCACATGCTAATTCCTCACGTTAACATCATGCTAATCTCCCAGTTGCACGCTAATTTCTGACTTTAACACCCTGCTAATCTTAACACATTAACACGGCTACTTCAATGCTAAATTCTCCTGTTGATATGTAAACTCTGGCTTTAACGTAGCTACTTCCGTGACCAGTTACACGCTAATTTATGACTTTAACACCCTGCTAATCTTAACACATTAACACGGCTACTTCAATGCCAAGTTATTCTGTTGATATGTAAACTCTGACTTTAACGTAGCTACTTCCGTGACCAGTTACACGCTTATTTATGACTTTAACACCCTGCTAATCCAACACATTAACACAGCTGCTTCAATGCTAAATTCTTCTGTTGATATGTACAATCTGGCTTTAACGTAGCTACTTCTGTGACCAGTTACACGCTAATTTATGACTTTAACACCCTGCTAATCCCAACGCATTAACACGGCTACTTCAATGCCAAGTTATTCTGCTGATATGTAAACTCCTTTGTCAAGGCGCTCCGCTCTGCTCCTCCCACACAGCTTTTAAGACGCTGCCCAAGCGCCGTCTTTCCGGACAGTCCCGTCTCTTCACCTGAGGAAGGCCGCTTGTGTTGTGGCCGAAACGTCGTGAGAATTTTATTGTGTTATTTGTATTTTTTGTGTTTTTTTTTTTTTTAACGTGACTTTTCCCGAATTAGAACCCCAAGAGTGTATGGGATCCTTGCAGTCACGAAAGCTTGCAAATCTAGGAAGGGCTCCTTGTGCCGTGGCCGAAACGTCGTGAGGATCTGTAGCCTGTTGTTGTGATTACTTTATTATTTTTTCTCCTTTTGACGAGGCGGTGACTTTGCCGAAAGACCCCCCCCCCCAGGAGTTGAATTCTCGAGAGCAGTTTTGAGAGACGGGCCTCATTGGTAGCGGTTCGAGTTGCAGTCTGTCGGCGGATAGCATTCCCGGCCCCCCACCCCTGGGGGGTGGGTGTGGGTGGGGGTGGGAGCAGCGCTAGCGAAGGCCCTTCCTCCGTTTTTTCTGTTTAAATTTTTTTGTTTACGGCAATAAGGGGGAATGCGAAGCTGGTCAAATGAGCCGAGGGCAACCCCCCCCCGAGGTCAGATTTCGTTTCTTCGAAACGGGAGAGGGGGCGGATCCAGCGGCAGGTGGCCCTGCGGAGTGTTGCTTTGCGAGCGCGTGGTGAGCAAGCAAGGTCCGGTGCACAGGCCGTCGAACACGGAGGGGTGCCGACAACTTGACCCGGTGTGGGGATCGCGGTGGCGGGTCCCTGCGTGGGCAGTCCAATGCAAACCGTAGGACCTCGGCGATAGATTGGGAGTCAAGCTCCTTAAAGCACAGTGCCTGGCGCTGGGTTTTTCCACGGCGTCGCAGCGCTCCCTGGCTCTGGTCGGTAAGGTCACGTGGGGTAAGAAAAAATTAGAACGGGGAAAATCGCGACGTCTTTCGGCCGTAACACAAGTGGCCCCCCCCGTCGGGTGAAGGGACCAGACTGTCCAGCAGACGGTGTCCACGGGGCAACTGAAGATTTACAAACGCGGAACACAATTTCCCACCGAGAGGACGGTTTCAAATTAAGCAACCATTGGAGAGGTGTTCTAAACCAGAGCAAACATTAAACTAATTTTCAACGGTACGGTATATATTTATTTATTCTAGTAGTGGCACTCCAAACTCCCAGGGTGGTGTATTATCATCTTGTGCTAATTTCCAAGCTTCGTCAGTAGTGGTACGTTTCATGCTGATTTCCTTTGTCAAGGCGTTTGCCGTTTACCCCCTCGCAGCTTAAAAGGAGGCGACCGGCGCTTGGCTTTCTTCACTCCCGACGCCGTCCTCTGGACAGTCTGTTCCCTCCGCCTGATGAAGATGTCACAGGAGTCAAGTAGAGGCAGTACGGTAGCTTTCATCAATTCCGAACGGAACATTGGGGGGAAGCAAAGCAGTGCTTGTGTCGATACGGCAAACCCAATTTTTACCCGCGTCTTTTTACCAATGCAATCGACGTGATCTTCAAAATTCGGTGTTCGAATCCAGGGATGACCACAAGATACTTGTAGATCTCGGCTTGCTCTATTTGATTATTATTTAAGGAATGTAATTGGGTGGGGGGGGGGGGGGAATTTAACTTCCTGCTTTAGTCCCGGTGAGAAGCATAGCACCTTGGTTTTGGAAGTGTTCAGGACGAGTTTTAAGAGCAACTAGCTGATGTTGTAGTTTGTTGAAATCGCCCTGGAGCTTAGCAATCACCGTCATCCGGAGAGCGGCCAGCAGTAATCAGCATGGTGTCATCTGCAAAAAAGATTTACCCTGGAATGATCCGGGTCAGTGCCCAAGTCATTGGCATGAAGAGAGAACAAGAGGGGGCCGAGGATGGAACCCTGTGGAACACCTTTTGTGAGTGGATGGGTGGGTGAGTGAGTGGGTGAGTGGGTGAGTGAGTGAGTGGGTGAGTGAGTGGGTGGGTGAGTGGGTGGGTGAGTGAGTGAGTGGGTGAGTGGGTGGGTGAGTGGGTGGGTGGGTGGGTGAGTGGGTGGATGAGTGGGTGGGTGGGTGGGTGGTGGGTGGGTGACTTCCTGTACATAAAGTAAAACTCA